AAACTATCATACGGCGGAAACACGGGGAGACTCGGGGAGACAACACAGACGGACCAGCAACAAGCAAAAGGAAACACGGGGCTTATAATACACAACGGCATAATCAGGGAATAGGAGACAGGAGAGAAACACAGCTGGGAGAAATCAGAGCTGATGAGACAAGGGGAAGCAAAACCAAACACACTAACATAAGACACAGAACTTCACAATAAAACAAGAAACTCAACATGCCTGTGTAAAAATAAACTAAAGCAAACTAAAAACATAAATCCAGTTTGCTATTTACCTAAAACATAATACATTTTTTTTTTAGATTTAAACAAGTTCTAAAACATTTGTTACTTTTATGACGCCTGTTAATCGCTGTGTCATATTGAGAGTATTTTTAAGTAAGCAGTTGTTGACTACATTAGGATTCTGTACTATAATAAAAAAGTAATTGTTTTTAAATTTATACGACAATCATTAAGAGCATTTAGTGTCCAAAATATTTTTGCTTCCATAAGAGTAAAATGGCAGTGGCATTAGATACTGACAGAATTGAAAATTGTTATACTTTTTATAATGGGTTAAACCCCTGTTTTTTTCTATTAAGTTAATCTGGCCAAAGCATCTTGGACATTGGCAAAGTGGTACCAGTCTTCTCCATCTGCAATGTATTTCCAAATAATTCTAAAAAGAGAATTTTTTGTCAAGATTTTGTATACTCAGAGTCCTTGAGTGTTGAGACAAAGTTAGAGAAGCAAGGCTGAGTTGTGGGGGGTTTTTTTTGGAGGGGAGGGGGTTCACACAGGACAAAGGATGCTGAACATTGAGCAGATAGACAGTAGGAGATGCAGAAGGTTTGTGTGAGAGAGGAGGATGCTAAGGGATAGGGGGAGATGGAGGCAGAAGATCTGCTGTGGCGACCAGGTGAAAGAAGAAGAAGGGCCCCTGACTGTCGCTATGTATTTTTGCATAAATTTGAAATGTAAAAAAAAAACAAAAAAAAAAAAACGTTTGAGCTGTAATGATGTAAATCATTGGGGCTAACTGACAACATTTCCCCTAAAACTCACCTTTAAGTACAGTACAGTAAAGTTGTCACAACATTTTACACGCTGGATTGAATCATTTACATTGATTAATCACCTGATGTTAAACATATTGATGACTGCAGTTCCCAGAGTTGGTTGCTGCAGAAGGTTTGCATATCCAAAATGAGCGTGACTTTCCACTCTGCTTTTATTCTCTTCTTTTGCTCTCTGTCCTCGTGTCTTATCCCTCCCTTGATGTCTTTCTCACAGTTATCTAAGCGTAATTACATTGCCAGACAGTTAAAAGCCACGAACACAATAGAATTAATGTCTCAGCTACCTTATGCAGGAAGCTTTTCAACAGAGACCGACTCCAGAAAAAAAAACACACCTTAAAGCCTGAAATATGAACTCTTATCTCTACATTCACAAGTTCTGCCTGTCATGTTCAGGTGCACAGGCTTCTTTTCTTTCAGTTCCCCCCCTTTTGTGTGTGTTTTTTTTTTAATCCCATTCTCACCTTCGCCTCTAACTTAATTCCTAAAAGAAGTACCTGCAACTGAAACTCGATTACTGAGATATTATTAATCTGTCTCTGAGTGCATTTCTTTTATTTCAGGTATAATAACAGCATGTAGGTCTTTTCTAAGTAGGTTAGTTACTATACAGACAAACCCTTGCTAGTTGTCTCATTACTACAATGTATTCTAGTGAGCTTTTGTGGAGTTGCTTCTTTTTCTGTTGCTTCTTTTTCTGTTGTTTCTCGTCAGCTTTTTTGGCTATGAGGTGCCATATTAAACCAGAACTGATAGTTTTAAGGAGGTGTAGCACAGTCATGTACACAGTCTAAAAGGGATATCGATAATGTGTGGCCTACTTCCTAAAAGTTTACCCCTAAATGATGTTTTTCTTACCAATCAATTTAAAACAATTTACAATAAATGGCCGAGCCAGTTTCTGTGCGACACATTTCCACTGACAGTACACAGAAAGTTATCAGTCACACAGCGACAGGTAATCATGCAATGAACAGCCAACAGTGTAGCAGGTCATTTCACTGATGTATTCCCCTCTCTCAGGCTGAAGAGCTGAGAAAGAGGATGACTGACAGTCATCCTCCCAGGATGACTGCCTAACCCTGCAGTTGATGGATAGACCGAACTGTAAACTGATTAAGAGTTGATATGATGCATCTCACTATGAGGCTGTGTCTAACATTATGCGTTGCTGATAGAGCTGGAATATCAGACAATACGCACTCAGGAAGGTGGTACTTTATTCTTCAAATCTACATCTCTTCTTATGTTTGTAGACAACTTGGCAAACATCTATTCCTGGTACTGGTACCGACAACTACATTTCTGGCATATTGATGTCTCTATTTTGAATTGGGGAGGCACAGTGGTTAGTACTGTTACATCATAGCAGGGAGTTTCATTCCTTCCTTGCCTTGCTTTCAGGCTGGCTCCATGCTCCTTGCAACCCCAAGTAGGACAGGAATATTAAGAAAATGGATGGATAGATATGTTTAACTGTGGACCATGCAAAGTAAATTTGGGGAATTCAAGAAATGAAAATATGGTGCTAGAAGGAGTATAACAGACCTGCTTTAAAACAGCCTGCTTTAAAAGTGTGAGGTATTTTCTTCCATTTGCAACTATATAATGAAAATTCAGTTCATGTTGGGGCTTTTTAAAACAGCAACAAACTGAATTCACTCAATCTGTCCTTTTTCTAAGCAATTATTTAACCATATGTGTTAAATTCATGACAAACAGTTTAAGAACGAGGCTCTTAGCTCTGGCATCCCACATTTTATTCCCTACTGTGGTTCTCCCACTTCTTCCTGCCACCCAAGCATTTTCACATCTTCCCCTGTTCCCATTTACCTACTAGAATCAGCAAACCAAGGTCAGGTCTGTTCATTCTTCCGGAAATCTTTTTAATGCTTACAGCTACGAACCCTGGTTTGGAATGTGGCCCAGAGTCGTGCCTCGATCAGCCCACTGAGGGATCACATAGTCTGTTTTGGTTTGGAATAGATCCAAGGGTCCTTGAAAGGGAGGAAGTTCAGGATTGGAATTCTTTCAAGTGCCCTCTCCACAGATTAGGGTGGGTTTTTGGATGCTGAATTTGGAACATGGCCAAAGATCTGAGTGAAAGTAAAAATCTGGAATGCTTGGAATGAGATATCCTCTTCGGGCATAAGGGTTGGAATTGTGCCTGATGGTCCAAATAAGAAACACTATTGAAGTTTTTAAGTTTGGAACTTGTTAAAGTATGACTTGTTCAAAGTCCTGGATAAGGGTGTACAAGGGCCATGTATTTATCTCAGGAGAAGTCCTTGTGTTGAAGCAAAGAAGCGTGATTAACATTTAGAACCTGGCAAAGTGTCCGACTGATCAAAGACCCCCTGACATCGCTGTATAAAGCTTATGAATTAAGCTTGGAGCAAATCCAAGCAAGCATGCAACCAAGTGAGCATCTTTAAAGATCAGAGCCTATCAAAGTGTCAGATTTACCCATGGCCCCTGTCTAGGGAATACATAAGTCCATTATTAGGTCTGGAACAAGTCCAGGAGTCTTTCTGCTAAGTGGAGACCAGAGTGCTGATACAGGTGAAAGCAAAGCTCGCCTTTTAAACCCAACTATTTATTTTCCTTTTTTATTGTTGTTGAAGTTGTTGTTTTTGTAGATTTTCCACAGATTTAGAGATAATTTTCATGCCACTGCTTTAGCACAAACACAGGAAAAATAAAGGGAATGTAATCAAGAATTCTCATCCAAGTTGAGTTCCAATAAAGAAACAAAAGAAACCCCCAAACAAAAGAAAAACATAACCATTGTACTTTATTGGGACATGTTTAGTCTCAGTTTTATTTTTTCGTGTTGCAAAAGAAAGAAAGAAAATAAATACTGCAAGTTGGTTGAAACTTCATAAAGGTCTTTTTCTTATTTATAGTGCCATCGTTGGTGCTTTTACCTGATGGTTTGTGCATTTTTTAAAACAGGGAATATTTGGATTTACACACAGTTTGTATTCGTTCCCTATTTTCTGTAAGGTTTTGTGTACAGTAACAATCCTAATAGACACTACTCCACACACTTGCACCACAGGACATGCACGTACTTCCTTGTATCCCCTTCCACCTGCAATATGCACTCAAAGTCCTATGAGCATAATAACAATCCTAATTACAAAGCTACCACAGTTTAAGAAGTTACATTAGTGGTCTTTGGTCCCTGTTGTAAAAGATTATAAGAGCTAAATTCAATTAGAGCCTCTGTGAATCCGTGTGCGCGTGCATGTACTTATGCTGAGGGGACAATAATCTGTTTACACAGTCATATTGTGGGATCCTTCCGTCCTTCTGGGGACAAAAAAGCCAGCCTGCATGATGCAAATTAACACATTTTAAGATGAAACATGTGACAAACAGAAAGGTCAATGAATCTGCAGTTATAACTGAAGAAATGAGACGAAGCATGGTTTAGATTCAGATATGATGATTTGTGTCACAATAACACAAGAGCTGTGCAACCAGTTAAAACACACTGGTGTGAGCCACTAGAGAAATAACAGAAAAAAATAATCTTGCTGTACTGCTGTGTTTGGGTTTTTAATTGAGCATGAGAATCAGTGTTTCTGATAGATTGAGATAAAGTCCCATCTAAACTGTCTGTTTGTTCATGACTCATCATTATAATAAAGGATTAGTGTAAGGAAATAAACTAAAAAGGTTGAACAAATGCACAGTCAGGAACGAGTGGAAAATGAACACATTAGCATGCAAACTTGCTGTAATTATACCTGTTCACACACTACAAATATTAATTGCAGTGAGTGCTTAGATGTATTCAAAAACATGTAGTGAACAGTGATGTGGGAATGTGAGAGAAATAAGGTTGGTCATGCAGGCTGCTTCTCTCCAAATGATTTAGAGTGTGTTGTGTGCAGCTCTGTGTGTGTGTGTCTAATCTTACCTTAACCTGTCCAACGTAGGCGTGTTTCTGCTCCTCAATGACAGTGAGGTTCACTGGCAGGGAAGTATCGAACAGCGGGTCGTTGTCATTAACGTCAGTCACCACAATGTTCACCGTCGCTGTAGACGTCTACACACACACACACACAAACGACTGTAAGTGTTTAGTTCAAAGACTCTAATTATTGTACAAACCGTTATTTTTTTAAATGATGATTATCAGAAACTAAAACTGAATCACGACATTTCAAAGACTGTGTTTTTTTTAACCATCTTATTCTATGTGTCCCTTTTGCTAACATCGTCTTATATAATTAACTAAAGAGTTCATTTTTCTTGCAAATTTGTTGCAATCAGGCCCTGGCTGCCATATTCCTTTGTGCTAGTAAGAACTGTTCACTCTATAAATAGATTTAAAAACTGCTCACTGTTGGTCCACTTGTTCTCTCTCTCCCGATGTAAAAGGTCTGTTTGTTTTAACCCTTTACACCCTGGAAGTATTGCTGTGTGACATTTATGGTGAAAATAGGTAGCAGCCACTTCCTATCTTACACATTGCCAGTACTGTGTTGGACATCCTTTTGCATTCAAAACTGCCTTAATTCTTCATGGTATAGATTCAACAAGATGCTGGAAACATGCCTCAGAGACTCAGTTGCTGCACAGCCAATCTCCCATTCCACCACATCACACCAGCCACTGGCTATTTGAACACAGTGAACTCATTTTCATGTTCAAGATGAGATCATTTGAGCTTTGTGACATAATGTGCTGTCCTGCTGGAAGCAGACATCAGAAGATTGGACACTTACTGGGACGGACATAGTCAGCAACGATTCTCATGGCCTTTAAATGATGCTCAGTTGGTAGTAAGGGGTCTAAAGTGTGTCAAGACAATATCACCTACACCATTACACCATCAGCACAGCTTGAACTATTGCTGTCATGCTGTTTATGCCAAAGTTGAACCGTCTGAATGGCTCAGCAGAAACTGAGAATCATGAGACATGGCAATGTTTTTCCAGGGCGATCGTGGCTCAAGCCTTGTAATCGGAAGGTTGCCGGTTCGAGCCCCGGTTCCGACAGTCTCGATTGTTGTGTCTTTGGGCAAGACACCCGTTGCCTACTGGTGGTGGTCAGAGGGCCCGGTGGCGCCAGTGTCCGGCAGCCTCGCCGACTACAAGAAGGTCAACACAGTCAGTGTTCAGCCCACTGCATCTCTTGCAGACGAGCTTAACAACTTCTATGCTCATTTTGACGCAGACAACAGAGAGCAGATCCTCTACCCTCAGGAGGACAGTGAGGCTGCAACTCTAACTCTGAAAACAGAAGCTGTGAGATGGACCTTTAAAAAGGTAAATCCTCACAAAGCTCCAGGACCAGACGGCATCCCAGGCCGGCTACTCAGAGTGTGTGCAGACGAGCTGGCAGAGGTGTTCACCAACATCTTCAACCTCTCCCTGAGGCAGTCAGTGGTCCCCACGTCCCTCAAAGCATCCACCATCATTCCCGTTCCCAAAAAATCAGTGGTCTCCTGTCTGAATGACTACCGTCCTGTTGCACTGACATCCGTCATCATGAAGTGCCTGGAGCGGCTGGTCAAAGGTCATATCTGCTCCTCCCTCCCTGACACACTGGACCCTCTTCAGTTTGCCTATCGGACAAACAGAGCCACAGAGGATGCCATCGCCCTGGCAACGCACACCCAGGGCCGC